TGGCCGAGCCCTGGGGTGGTGACTGCAAGGACATGCCATCTGTGGTTCACAGGACATGAGGCCCTGGCAAGTCCTCCAGATCCCTCTCTGAGCTGGCCACTGGGCAGGGACCTCAGCAGTCAGGAAGCTTCCTGCTTCCTTACTGGGAGACCTGCTGTCCTTACCTACAGCAGGCTGGGGGCAGGCCATAAAGGCTAGAGTTCTGACTGTGGGAGTAGTCGCCAAGACGCGTTCCGGGCCCCCGAGACCATCTGCCCAGCCCTGGGAGGCAAGTTTAGCCTGGGTATCGGTCCTACTCCACCTCTCCACCTTGTTTGACCTCCCTGAACTTTGGAGGGATCTGTGGTACTCCAGTAGGAAGCTGGCAGAAGCCCAGGCTGGGGGCACTGGCACCTCCCCAGACCCATCTGCAGTGAGAGGGACGCCCCCTCCTCCCCATCTTGGACAGGGACAGCATCTGGGGAAGGTCGTCAGTCCCTGCCACATCCCCAGCTCCAAGCCTCTCTGCTGGGTTCTTGTCATTTTGCTTTGGACAATAACTATTTTCTTGACTGTAGGTTAAGTGTGGATAAGAGCATCTTGGGGAAATCTGGCTGGTTGGGAAATATGATCCGTATGTCACGCAACCTAACCGGAAACAGCAAATTTGCTGAGCAAATGTAGATTCAAGACAAGTCTTCTGCCTTCCTCCCAGCAACCACACAGTGGCCCCAAATTTTCTGAAAGGGCACCCTGGAGCCCACACAAGCCCTCCTGCTCACCTCCTTTCCTTCCCCAGCTTCCAGGTAAGGTCCAGGTGTTCTGGGCTGGGGTGCTGCATTGACCTGGGTTAGGGAAGCTGGACTGGAATTTGGGATGGTTTTAGGTCTGAACAGAACAAGATGGAAAAGGAAAACTGCAAAAGTGGGTTTGTTTTCTTAGGCTGGACAAATACATAACTCAGATCCTGCAGCCAAGGGGCCCTAGCCTCTAGGCCACCGCCAGGCCTGTGGTCATCATGGGCATCTCTCTAAAACCATGGTGGGCCCCTGACTAATGTGGCTCAGTTGGTTGGCTGTTGTCCCACAAAGCAAAAGGTGACTGGTTTGATTCCCTGTCAGGGCACATGCCTCGGCTGTGGATTCAGTGCCCGGTCGTGGCAGGCGTGAGAGGCAATCAGTTGATGTTTCTCTCTCACACAGATGTTTCTCAACGTCTTTTTATCCCTCCGTTCCCCTCTCTCTAAAAAGAAATAAATAAAAATTTAAAAATAAATAAATATATAAATAAATAAAAATAAAACCCTAGTGGGACCTGGTCTCCTCTTCTGAAAACTCTTCTGGAGTCCTGTTGCCTTCAGGGTGATGTCTACATGTAGGAGGTTAGTAAGAAGCTGGGAAAATTCCTTGGTAAGTGGAATGGGGAAACTGAGACAGATAGCTGAACAAACCGGCCGAGCAATTTACAGCCAGCTAATAAATCACAAGGTCTTATCTTCTCTGACCAAGGACACTTAGGAGCAAATGGTTTACACATTCCAGACCATGCCCGGGCAGACCTGCGTCACCAGAGAACGACCTGGACTCAGTACTCTCAATCAGCATATTAACGGCACACCTGGAAAGCTGGTGCATATTCCATTGTCCTCTCCTGAGACCTCCTCTAAAATTCCTGCCTTTAGAAACAGATAAACACCCCTAAGACAAAGGACACAGTGTGGCCGGCCGTCTACCTTCAGCGCTCCCGTGCCTCCCCCATGCCTTCCCCCGCCCCGCCCCCCCAGGCTTGCATCTTTGCTCTCTTTCTCCTTAGCTTTTAGGGCCCCGATAAGATTTGCAATCAGGGAGGAGCAGGCAGCAGCAGCTCGCCCTGGGTTAACCCCCTGTACCCGTCTCCAAGAGCCCTCCTTTGGCCTAACTATTGAGAGCCCTCAAGCAACTCCCCTAGGCTCACTGCCGTTGCTGCGGTCTGGCCTCTTTCACCGTAAGCCCTCCCTTTGTTACACTGTCCGCAGCTTTAATAACTGTACTCTCAAAATCACCTGGACTTGTGTTGTAAAATCTTTCCGGCATGAAGTCAAGAACCCATACCAGGGCAGACTCACCTTGGTCCCTGGTTCCTTTCTGGTGACAAACGCACCGATTCTAGCTCTCAAGAGCCATCCCAAGCCAGGCCCAGCCTTTCTCACAGCCTCACCAAGTACCTGTCACCCTTCAAGGACACATCGCTACTCTCACCTCTGCCTTTGCCTCAGCCTTCTGCTCGCCCTTGAACATCTTCCCTGCTCTTCTCAACAAGCCACATTCATCCTGAACATTCAGCTCCAAGGTCATCCCTCCTGAGAAGCCCTTTCTCCCTCTATCCCACTCTCCACTGTACCCATGTCTAGGCCCTTAGTGGAGTTGTATGGTGGAACAGAAAACAGGTGAGGGCTTTAGAGTCACATCCAGGGGTAAATACAGGCTCCACCATCATGTGGCCTTGGGCTAGCTACTTCATTTTATAAGCCTTTGGATTTGTGACCAGTAAAATAGGGCCAACAAGGATGTGGGGCTGCGGCAAGGTAGGCAGGTGCCCAGTCCTTGCAGACTCGCATCACCTGTCCACCTGATGCCCTCCACACTGTACTGTTTTCCCCGGGGTGTGCGCAAGCTGCTCTGAAACAAGACCCCAGCCCTTGGCACCTTTGGGTCTTTGCCCTGTTTTTACTCTGAACACTGCTGACATCAAATGGGTGGGCTTTTCGCACACCAACAACTAATTTTTCAACTCTCTGGACACTACAATTCAATTCAATCCTCACACTATCTACCTGGAGCTAGTGTCACAGGTGGGCACAGGTAACCAGGTTCTTGGTGATCGCGGACAAAAAATTGAACCGAACACACAGCTTACAGCAGAAAACAAGAGAAAGCACATTTATTAAGCCACACAGAACATGGGAGCAAGCCAGCTCTGAGCAGAGCGGAGCAGAGAAGAGCAGAGCAGATCCTAACAGCAGCAGCAGCTTAACAGCAGCAGCCGCCCCGAATTCAGGGGCTGGAGGGCTTTTATTCCTTAGGGTGGGTTTCCCATGATTTCCTTGATTGGCTACTAGGAAGGGGGTTCCACAATGCTAATTTATTATAATGATAGTATAATGAAGCAGGTGTCAGATAGCATCTCCTGCACAGGTGCATTCCTGATTCACTAGGATGCAATACTTTTCCAGAATGCAGAAACTACCAGTCTTAGAACAGGGTCTCCGCCCTTTATCCATGTTCTTTATCTTAGCCCTGGGGCACCTCCGGAGTTTCCTGCTTCCTGACTATCTCCTGCCTCACTAGCATCAGACTCCATAGGTGTAAGGGCTCAGTCCCACAAGACTGTCCACACTTCAGACATGAGTCTCCAATATGGAGTACCCAGGGTACTCAAACTTCTGTCGGACTTGGCTGCAAAGTTGAGGGTTTCCGCAACTCCCACCCATCCTTAGTTTCAATAATTTGCTAGAATGGCTTACAGAACTCAGGAAAACACTTGATTTACTATGATTGGTTTATTATAAAGGACACAAATGAATAGGCGCAAAGTCCTGAGCAAAGGAACTTCTGTCCCCCTGAAGTTGCCACCCTCCTAGCAAATGGACATGTTTACCAACACAGAAGCTCTTTGAACCCCATCATTTAGGGGTTTTTATGGAAGTTTCATTATGTAGGCATGATTAATTAATTAATCAGTCACTGGTGATTAAGTCAATCTCTAGCCCTTCCCAGAGGTGGGCCCGGGACGGAAAGTTCCAACTCTAACCCCATGCTTGGTCCCTATGGCATGACCAACCCCCATCCAGAAGCTATCTAGGGCCCTACCAAGAATTACCTTGTTAGCATAAACTCTGACTTCGTTGAAAAGGGCTTGTTATGAATAACTAAAGACAATCCCAGGAGCCCTGTCACTCAGGAAATTTCAATGCTCTAGAAGTTCTCCTGCCAGGAACAGGGGACAGATCAAATGTACTATATTTCTTAGTATATTACAATATCACATGGTCCCACTTCAGGGCCTGGCACACAGTAGGACTTTTTAATGAAGGAAGCACACTGTGTTCTGGGAGCCTCGCCATGAAATAGGAATGCCGCCAGCCCTTGTCCTGAGAGCACCCAGCATTCAGCCTGCCCAAATGGGAGGTGGGATGATGTGGGGTTGGAGGAGGGGAGGGCATCATAGGCAGGGGTTTGAGAATCAGACAGATCTGGTGTTCCCTCCCAACTCCATCTCAACTAACCCTAAGCCCAGCTTTCTCACATCCCTAAAAGAGGTGCAATGCTATTCCTGACCCTCAGTGCATGTGACAGTTAACGAGACAGTGGGTGCGAAGGACACAGCCTGAGAGACGGTTGAATTCAAGTGGCCCCCTAGACCTGTAATTCGACAGGAAGTTCCGGAGGCTATTGGGAGGGCCTGGTGGGGTGGGGTGGTTCTGAGGGCTGTGTGCCCAGCCACCCCGCTGCCTCGGTGAGACGTTGACAAGGAAAAGCTTTACGGTGCTGGCACACAGGAAGCCTGACACTATGAGCAAAAGCTAGGGTGGCTAGGGCCAGCTCCGGGCTCTGGGACTTAAGGGGGTCCCTGAGGTGGCGCCGGGTTGGAGGAGAAAGCAGGGGGATCAGGGAAGAGTGAGTGACTGCACTCAGAGGGGGCCCTCTGTGGGAGTTTGGGGGCGAGGCAGAGGATTCTGGGAGCCAGAGGGGCAGGGCTGAGACATGGGGTCCGCTGCAAGGTGCACGGGGGCGCGTTGCATTAGCCCTGAGACGCGACTCCACCGCGCGCTCCGGCGCCAGTCAGGGCAGTCTACTTAGGAGATGGCGCCTCTTTTTCTCCACCTGAGAATGGGCGCGGGAGAGCAGGGAGAAGATGAAAGATGGCTTTGCAAACAGAGAAGCGCCGGCGCCAGCGTCGGCGGCGGGGGCGGGGCGGGGGCGGGGCTGGGAGGCAGGGCCCGGAGGCGGGGCCCGGCGTCCGGTCCCGCGAGGCCTGGAGTGGCAGCGGCCGCGGCGGCCGGGGAGACGGCGGTGGCGGTGGCGCGCTGGCGACAGTAAGTGCGGGCCGGAAGTCGGGCGCCGGCCTGGCCACCAACCAGCTCTTCAGGGTCCCGGTCGGCCCTGGGCTCCCGCTCTTGGCGTCCCCTCCTCGTCCCCCACCCACCCCGGGCGGGAGGCTGATCCACCGGAGCTCAGGACCCCAGACCTGCCCCTCCCGCTGCATACTTCCCGCCGTGTCCCCCTTCCCAGAGTCCCTCGGCTTCCTTCCCGCTCTCTTCCGCCTCCCCTGACTCTTCTCACTTTCCCTCTCTCTAGGTCTCTTGTTTTCTTTCTCCAGATTCTCTCCCTTCCTGCTCCTTGTGCATTTCCTGAGACGACCTCACCGTCTGGATTCGGGGGGGGGGGGGGTCTGGGTGTGGACAGCTAGGCTCAGAGTATCCAGATGGTGGCTGCCTCTTGGTCCCAACTGGGGAACCTGAGGTTGGGAGTGCCCACAACGCCAAGGCCAGTTCTTTCATGGCCTTTGGATGGCGCCTTGTGTTTCCCAGCAATGCATTTCCAATGGGTTAGTTCCCCGTACCCCCGCCCCCCGTACCCCCGCCCCCCATCCCCACATCACAAACAAGGAAAATGAGGCCACCGAGGGGAGACTGAGTCAGCCAGAGTAAGAAACCTCGTCGGAACCAGCACTCAGTTCCAGATGGCGGTCTGCAGTGGCCCCAGACCCCACAGTTTCTACTTTGTGCAGGGGCTGCCCATTGCCCCCGCCACCCAGGAAGGGAGCGGCCCCCCAAGTGGCCAGCCCCTGTGTGTGCTTGAGAAACGCACCAGCCACAGCCAGCTTGTTCCAGGGGAGGTTTGGACTCTTCTTTACCTTCCTTTTTCTTTCTTTTCAATCCGAAGGCCAGCAGCTAGCTTTTATAAAGAGTAATGAGACTTTGCTCACTCCAATGCCCCGGCCTGTGACCCAGGTTAGAGAAAATTCCTGACTCCTTCAGAAGCTCAGTCAAGGCTGAATGGTCCTGGATAAATAGGTACCTGAAGCTAAGAATGGGCCTCTGCCAAATGTGGGCCCAAATAACCCTGCTGTTGGCCTCTGCCCCCACCCTAGTAGCTGAAGCACCTGGGAAGAACCACTTGCCCTTTCTCTACTGTCCTACATGAGTTAGAATTTTTAAACACTACTGTCTGGTTAGTTTGTTGGTGCTGGGTGTTCTGTGAATCAAGGCTGGGAAAAGGCCCTGCTCAGTCAGGGGAGTTTAAAATAGACCTGCTGACTCGAATCACCCGCGTCCTGCCTGCCCGCTCCAGGATACACGCCACCTCAGTAGGGGAGAATATCCTGGCCGCACAGAGTACATTCATTCAGCAAACGCTGAGAAGCTTATACCCTGTAGTGCTGCCTTCATTTCTGCGTACAGCTTACTTGCCACAAGGCCTTTCTGAAGGAGGCCTGTCTGTACTTGGAGCCTGCAATGCAGGATGCCAAGGAGTCCCTGTGGGCCTCAGCCTGCTTGGCCATGTAACCTTGCTCTTGCCACTTGGTAGCTGTGTGACCTCGGGCAAATTGCTCAACCTTTCTGAGCCTCTTCATCTTAAATGGGTCTTAGAATAGTATCTGCCATATTATTAGGTTGTTGTCAGGCTCAAATGCTAGGCACAGACCTTAACATGTGTGAGTACTAGACTTAATTTTAATTTTAACTATTGGGAATTCTTACTGTTTCAATGTGGGACAAATCAAGTGTCTTTAAGGCCTCATTCTTTGCATCTGAAAAAAAAAAAGGCAATAATTCTTGTCCTCCCCAATTCTGAGGAACGTTGCGAGGCTCTCTTGAAATAATGGATAAAGCTCTCTGCCTGTGCGACGGGGCGTTCCCTTCTCACCAGGGAAAAAAGGCCCCATTCTGCCTGGCTTGATGTTCTGAGTAAGGCTCAGCCTCCCATGTGAGCACATTTATTCATTGATTTATTGGGGAGGGAGGAAGCTGCTGCAGAAGGGACTAGAGTATCCCATCCTCAGCTTTATGGGAGGATTTCCCATCTGTCAAGCTGCTGCCACAACCTAGGTGCTATATAGAGCATAGAAGTAGGCATGCTGCCTTGCAGTCAAATCCAGCAGCCAGCCACCCAGCCAGGTGACAAGCCCATGATGGCAAGGACAATGCTGATGCTTGTGCAACAGCTGCTATGTGGGCCCGGCATTGCTAGTCAGTTGTAGTTATGTAACCATTGTAAAAAGGCTTAGGTTTTTGTAAAAAAACAAAAAACAAAACAAAAACCTAGGTTTGCAGATGGGGAAATTGAGGCTCAGAAGCATGGTCACTTGCCCAAGGCCATGTAGGCAGTAGTTATTGGCAACCTAGAACCTCCCCTTTGTCTCAGGAGCTACCACAGATGGGGAGTGGCTGTCTCCTTGTGGGATGTGATGAATAGAGGTGGGGTGTCCAGGCAGGAGTTGTAGGCCCAGGCTTGGCCATTTACCTGGCCCGTGACCTTCCACTTTCTGGGTGGACCTCTGTTTCCCCAGAAATGAAATAAGGGAGTGGACTATTATATGTCTCAAACTGGCTTCTGGAGGTGGCTTTAAAAAAATGTTATTGCCCTGGTTGGTGAGGCTCAGTTGAAGCATCAACCTTTAGACTGAAAAATTGCAGGTTCTATTTCTAGTCAGGGCACATCCAGGTTTTGGTTTCATCCTCAGTTGGGGCACATATGAGAAGACAACCAATCGATGTTTCTCTCTCTCCCTTCCTCTGTTTCTGAAAAGCAATGCAAAAAAGGTCCTTGGGTGAGGATAAACTTTTTTTTTAATTTAAAAAATGTTTTTCAATTTGAATGCCTTTATTTATTATTGTATTTTTTCTGTTACCATTTAGTCCCCTTATACCCTCCTCCCGCCCACAGTCACCCTACAGTTGTCCATGTCCATGAGTCCTTTTTCCTTTTTGCTCAATCCCTCCACCCCCACCCTTAGCTGTCATCTGCTCTCTATCTATGAGTCAGTGTCTATTTTCTTTGTTAGTTCAGTTAGTTCATTAGCTTCCATGTATGAGTGAAATCATATGGTATTTGTCTTTCTCTGACTGGCTCACTTCACTTAGCATAATGTTCTCCAGCTCCATCCATGCTGTCACAAAGGGTAAAACCTTTTTTATGGCTGAGTAGTATTCCATTGTGTAACCATCCCATAGTTGTTTTATCCACACATCTACTGATGGACCCTTGGGCCGCCTCCATACCTTGGCAATTATAAATAATGCTGCAATGAACATAGGGGTGCTTACGTTCTTTCGAATTAGTGTTTTGGGTTCCTTTAGCTATATTCCCAGAAGTGGGATCGCTGGTCAAAAGGCAGTTCCATTTTTAATTTTTTGAGGAAATTCCATACTGTTTTTCACAGTGGCTGTACCAATCTGCATTCCCACTAACAGTACACAGGGGTTCCCTTTTCTCCACATCCTCGCCAGCATTTGATAATTTATTGGTGATAGTCATTCTGATAGGTGTGAGATGATATTTCATTGTAGTTTTAATTTACATTTCTCTGATGGTTAGTGACATTGAGGATCTTTTCGTTTGTCTGTTGGCCATCCATATGTCCTCTTTGGAGAAGTGTCTATTCAGGTTCTTTGCCCATTTTTTAATTGGGTTGTTTGTTTTTCTGGTGTTGAGTTATATAAGTTCTTTATAAATTTTGGATATTAACCCTTTATCAGATGTATCCGTGAATATGTTCTCCCATTCTGAGGATTGTTGAATGCCTTTATTTTTATTTGTAATTTTATTTTTTGAACAGGTAATACATTTGCATACTTCAAAATTCAAGAGCCGCAAAAGAGTCTGAAGTGAAGTCCCCTCCTTCCCAGTCCCCAGCCTTCCTCCTCAGAGGCAGTGCTGCTGGAAATTACTTGAGTGTCCTTGCAGAGAATGCACAGACATTTGTGTGTATAGTCTCCTCCCCACCCACCTCAGCCTTGCTTTTTTGCACAAACAGTAGCATGTTCTCCTGCTCCTCACTTTTCTCACATAGAGTTGAAAGGCGTTGAGAAAGCATTCTTTGCCTATCAAGGGTCCTAATTCCTTTTTTATGGCTGCATAGACGTGTAAAGGCTTTGAGACCTGGTTTGTTCTTCTGGGTGATTGCCCCAGACCCCGCTATGCCGCATTGCCTTACTCGCCATGAGCCACACCCTTGTTTGCTACCTGTGTTGCCCTGCATGGGTTTGGGGGTGACCCCTGAGGTTGCTTACAGCTCTGACCTCTGGTCTTTCTCTCTGATCCTTAAACCTAATGTTTTGTAACGGTGCTTTGGTGACTCCATAGACCCTGAGGCGCATGGTCAGGTTTGTAGGATGGATGAGTCCCCAGCTTTAGCTTCTGATCACCTGCCTCATCTCTGTTTCAACAGTGGCCTTTGTCTCAGAGGATGACTTTCGTCACAGTTCCAACTCCACCTATAGAACCACAAGCAGCGCTCTCCACACTGACCAGGACGCGCTGCTTGAGAAGCTGCCGGACTGCTCCCCACCCCACCTGCAGAGGCCCGAGGACCGTTTCAATGGGGCCTACATCATCTTCTTCAGCCTCGGCATTGGTGGCCTTCTGCCATGGAACTTCTTTATCACTGCCAAGGAGTACTGGATATTCAAACTCTGCAACTGCTCCAGCCCAGCCCCAGGGGAGGAAACTGAGGACTCAGACATCCTGGTAAGGGCATCTTCCTCGTGGGAGGCGGGGGGTGTGCTCAGCCAGGGTGGGGTGAAGGGCGCCTTGACCCAGGTGCACCATACCAGCAAGGTTTGTGGCACTGAGGATGTGCACATTGGGAAGCTATGTGGAGTATAGTAGAAAACATTCAATTCACTCCTAAGACATGCTTTGTGTTGTATGTGAGGCTTCATGTTTCATGTGGCAGGAGAAGATGGAAATGGATAAGACACAGTCCTGGCCCTCAGATTGCTTACCACTTAACTTGGGAAGAGGCAAATGATGGTTGTCTGCTGTGTAATACGGGAAACCCAAGAATTCAGAGACCATGCCTTCAGGGGTTTGGAAGGGTGGATCTAATAGCATTAAGTGCAGCTGTGAGTTACAGAAAATTCCAAAAAAGGAGTGGATAAACAAGATGGAAAGTAACTTTTCTCTCAAGTTCAGGTCTGGAGGGGCCTGCCCAAGCCTAGTATGGTGTTTGGTTTTGTCAGGAACCTAACTGTTTTATCACGTGTAGCTTCTATGTTCAAGATCCCAGTCCAGGATGGCTGCCGGAGCTCCAGCCATTAAATCAAATAGGAAGAGGAGAAGGAGAGGCGTAAGGAAACGAAGTAACACACTTTGCTTTTGTTTGCATCACATTGGTCAGAACTCAGTCATGTGACCACATGAGATGCAAAGAATGCTGGAAAATGTAGTCTTAGCCCAGAGAACCACGTGCCCAGCTAAAATGTGTGGTCGTGTAGTTATGGAGAACAGGGGGAAATGAAGACTCTGGGATAAGTAGTCTCGTCACTATGAATCAGAGCAGGTGGATTAGAGGAATGGAGAGGAGACATCCCAGGGGGAAGAAGAAGCCTGGGCAAAGGAGGGATGGGAGAAAGTTCAGGTGTGTGTACGAGGAAAGCAAAGCATCAAATTTTGCTGGATCTGAGGTGTATGTAAAAGCAGTAAGGCTTGAGATCATTGCCTGGCCTTAAGTGGCAAAGCGAGGAGTCTAAATTCTGTTTGGTTGGCAGTGGTGCCAAGCGCTGTCCTGCCACCTCGGGCTGCTCACTTTGTGGGAAGACTTCCCTTGGACAGGCAGAGTGTTAAAAAATTAGCCTGCCCCTTGAGCCTTCACTCAAGACTTTTGCAGTAAGGGAGAGCGAGCAGGCTCAACTCCAATTACTCAAGGACAAGTGAGGATTTATAGCCAAGGAGCAGAGTGAGGGTGGGGGGGGGGCAGTGGGTGGAAAGTTACTAAGAGGGGCCGCCAAGGGTAGGGGCATTCTTGCTAAAAGCAGGCCAAGGACATGTAAATCAAGGTGGGGGATGAAAAACAATCAAACATCAAGGGAGATCAGGTATCAAGGGTGGGGACATTCTCAATAAACTGACTTAGCAGGATTCTTGCTAAGACTGGCTGGGTGGCAGAAGATGGTGGGGAGGGAGTGGGGGGTGCGCCCAAGGCTGAGACCCAGGCAGGAAGAGGGCTTAGAGTTTTGGTTAATCTTTGTCAGGAGCTGGTTCCCTCAACCGATCTAGGTGGGTGCCTGTCCTTTCTTGAAAGCTCATGGATGGGAAACCGGGCACCTCTCTGAAGGAATGCCAGGCCAGGGGCTTGCTAGCTGCCCCCGCCTCTAGAGGTGCCCTGGAGGACAAGAAGAATATACCCTCTCAGACCTTAGTCATACCCCTCAGCTGGCCCAGGAGGTGGCTCACCTCACCTTCCCGAAAGCACCTTTGAAATCCCTGATCCAATCCAATCCCCAGGGACTTTCCCCAGTTTAATAGGACTGAATCTAACATATGGGCTGAGATTTCCTATCATCTATTTTGAGGACTCTGCCAGGGCCCGACATCAGAATCACTCAGGGAGCTTTGAAAAATTCCCAGTCTGGGCTCCACCTCAGAAATTAGGATTGAATGAGGTCCCTTAATTCTGACACCCTGTGAGGACTTACTTCTGTTAACTGAGGAATTCATAGCTGCCTCCAGGGGCCCCGAGCGGTGTGATAGGAACTCCATTTGCACAGCTGCAGAAGCGTCATGGGAACGTGGTGTAGCAGTTTAGAGCCTCCTGCTCCAGGTGTGGGCCTTGGCCCAGGCTCACCTGGAGCTGGTTAGTGATTCAGAGGCTCAGGCCCTACCCCAGACCAGCTGAGTCAGGAGCTGCAGGCTGACGGGCGCCCCCAGGTGACTGACAGGCACAGAAGAGCTGGAGAAGCTCTGTCGAGGGCAAGGCTTCTGGAAACAGACCACGTGGGCTCCAGCTGTGCCTCTGTAGTGCTTAGCTCTCTGGCTTCCCTGCACTGCATCATCTTCCTGGTATGTAAGGGGAAGATAATAACTAGCAGCAGCTTCTTAGGGTTGTGGTGAGGGTTAAGTAAATTACTCTGCACACAAACCACTTAGAACAGGGGCCGGCCCTAGTGCTGTAAGTGCTGTATAAACATTATTATCCTTATTTTCATTTGGGGGATGCAGCCCTGGAGTATTTCCAGACGCCTGGCTCACCCGGCTGCTTTATGATCCCACTTTTATTTACCAGTGACTCAAGCAGCCCATCTTTCTGCTGGCCTTGGTAAATCACTCAGCGCACTTGGGCTTCCTCCAGAAGGTCCCTGTCTGTCTGGGCCAGCACTAGCTTAGGGTGGCCCCCAGGACCAGATTACATGTGCACCTGTCCTGTGCTCCCACCCCTGTCCCAGCCCCAGCTCCTGGGAGCAGGCTGCCCCAGAGCAGAGGAAGATGCACAGGCGGGCGTCTGGGAGCCGGCCTGGCCCTTGAGCAGTGGACACCCCCTGCCCAGTGGACGTCTGCCGTGAGCCGTTCTCGCTGCAAGGCGATCCCTTCCCAGCTGCAGGCACTTAGCATTCCAGGCCCTGCTATGATGCTTTATTGCCTCTTCCAAGTGCTGGCAGGTGCAGATGTAGTACCTGCGGTGCCTGGAGCTCCTGGCTCTTGGCATCAGAGATGAGAGACCTGTCACCCCTCGATTCATGGGTCGGCTTTGGGAAGGAAGCATGCTGGGGCACTTCTGCATTTTGCGGGCCATTTTTCTTTGCCTGACTCCCCATTCCTGCCACCCACCTCCCCAATTCTTTCCTCCTCTCTTCCTATTTCCCTGCGAGAAGCGGCTGGTTTGCTCTGTCACCTGAGGGCCACTTTGAGGGAAGGAGGAGGGAGAGTCAAATACGTCTGTCTCCAACCGCCACCTGCAACTCAATTAGCTGTAGGTCTGGATGTTGTTTTTTTCTGTACTGTCCTTTTAATATTTCCCAGGGATAGATACCATTGGCTGGCGAGTTTGACTCAGTTGGAATGTTTGCACAGACAACCTCCCCCGCCCCCCACAAATTGTGTCACTTTCAAGGTCACCTGCCATCCGAGGCTCATTTCCTTCTGCCTGGAACAGTTTGGGGGTGGTGTAGAAAGCATCTTGTTCGCCTGCCCCTTTGTTCTCTGGAATAAGAACTTTAAATGAACCCACCACAGGCCCGTGGATCCAGAGCCAAAAAAATGAGAGCGTCAACAAGGAAGAATTGACATGAGAAAATGGTGCAGGGCAGCCAGGACAGGCTCCGTCTCCGGAGCCCCGCTCTGTGCCCACCTTGCTGGCAGGGGTGTGAAGCACATTGTTTCTAATTAACTCTGCTTTTTTCAGACGAAAAGCCAGAGCTCAGAGAGGCTCAGTCACCTGCCCCGAGTCACGTAGCTAGAAAGGACTGAAGAGAACTTCATGGAGGATTTAGGTAGATAGATAGTTACAAAACTGGTCATGCTCAGAGAGCAGTGTAGAGGGGACTGTCCTGGAGACAAGGGCCCACCCACACCCTGACTCTGCCACACACTGTCTTTCTTATGGAGAGCCTGCCGTGCATCTGCAGCTCTATTCCACCTGGAAGCCCAGCTGCCTTGGCTCAGCCCCTGGATTCTGAACCCAGCTTCCAAGCCGTCAGCATCGCGATCCTTCCCCACCCCTACCCCCAGGTTTGTAAGCCATCCCTGATCCTGGGGTCTCTTTGCCTCTCCTACCACCCTGTACAGGCTGCCCCTGCACCAGGGGCTGTAAGCTGGAATGCCTCCTTTCTGCCCCAGAGAAAGGGACTGCACCTTCTCCTGGTCATTCATTCCCTGCCCTGAGGCCTCTGTGGCCCCCTCCCAACACGTTTTTCCTGTGCATCTTGGCCCTCCCAGGGCTCCTCTCTGAGGGGCTGTGGGACGTGGCCAGGTCATGGGTGGGACCCACAGTCCCATTTGGTGTCACCAGGCTCAGGTTGGGCCATCTACTGCTGTCCTATCCATCCCTTGATCAGAGGGGGTCCCAAAAACCCAGTCCCAGGGCAGGGGGCAGATGCCTTTCTTAGCCCTGGGAACCTCCACAGCTGCTACCCTCTGAATTAGGGACTCCCCTCGGGATCCCCAGAGCCTACTGCACCTCCCCATAAGGTTCTCATCACGCAACTCATGGTATTGAGCCCTTATTGGAAGGGTGCCACGGCTCTCAGAGCTTTGCCTGCATCATCTCATTTAACCCCACAGCGCCCCCATGAGGCAGGAATGGTTATTATCAGTGATGACATACCTGTTTCATGGATGAGGACACCTCCTCCACTAAACTGTTAGTTCTTTGGAGATTACTGCACATCCCTGTGCTTCCAGAACAGCTGCGCGGCACATAGCAGCACACAATAAATATTTGTTGCATTAGCTATTATGTAGCTGGGGAGAAAAGCCCATCATCCCAATCCAAAATAAGGATGGCATGGCTCTACAGAGGGGCAAAAGAAGGTCTGGGGGGTCACAGTGGCCACCTCCAAAGGCGTTCTTATCTTTTAGGTGGGTTGGCATAGACATGAAGGGGGAGTCGTACCCCAGGGAAGGGACCCAGTTGGCCTGGTGCAGCAGGTGGAGATCTACCGTCATTTACAGCACCTTGGCCCTGGCCCAACCCCTCAGCGTCCCCGCCCCCCCCAAAAAAAGAAGCAGGATAGCATGACTAGGAAGCTGTT